ACAAAATTCTAGTGCTGATGCATTATCTAGAATGCCATTAGTAGTACATTTTGTAGAAAATCTAGATGTACACCCTCAGCTCAATTTTATTGAAACTGAAAAATTAGCAAACTTAAGTCAAATTCAACAAGAAACTCAAAATGATACAGTACTAAAGCAAGTATATAACTTTATAATGAGGGGGTGGCCTAAATATTTAAATAAAGACGATGTTGTATTAAAACCGTATTTTGACAAAAGGAATGAATTAACTGTAGAAGAGAACATTATCATGTTAGGATATAGAATAGTGATTCCTGAAATATTACGAAAAAGTATACTTGAGGAATTACATTCCACTCATTTAGGAATTAATAAAACCAAGAGTATAGCTAGATCATATTTTTGGTGGAGCACAATGAATAAAGAAATTGAAAATTTGATATTATCATGTGATGCTTGTTTGGTGAATAGACCAGAACCACAGAAATTAGTAAAACCATGGCCAAAAACAAATGAAGTTTTTGAGCGAATACATTTAGACTTTGCAGGACCGTTTAAGGATAAATATTTTTTAATCATAATTGATTCTTTCAGTAAATGGCCTGAAATATTTCAGTTAAATACAATTAATACAAAAATTACAATTGAAAAATTAAGGGAAACATTCGCTCGCTATGGAATTCCTAAAACAATCGTATCAGACAATGGAAGACAGTTCACATCATCGGAGATGAAAACCTTTTGCGAAAATAACGGCATTAAACATGTTTTTACACCACCTTACCATCCGAACAGCAATGGAGCAGCTGAAAACACAGTAAAAACCTTTAAAGCAAGTTTGAATAAAGCATTAAAGGATCCCAAATGCAGAAGTGCATCCATAGAAACACTGATATCAAGATATCTGTTGTGGTATAGGAATGCAATGCATAGCACAACAGGAGAATCACCAGCCCAAAAGATGTTTGGAAGGAAACTACGAATGAAGTTTGATAGGATTAGATCAAATAATAACATCGAACTGGAAGGCCAAGTAACAGACAAGAAGCAATGTTTGGTGGGGGCACAAGTTTATATAAGAGATTATAGAAATCCCAAAGAACAAAAATGGATTAGAGCATCGATAACAAAGAAGATCGGCGAGGTAATATATGAATGTGAAATTCCGGAAACCGGGACAACGCACAGAAGACATCGGGACCAGATAATACAAGTAGAAAAACATTCAAGGAGCACAGGAGACAAAGGAAAATCAAAAACTAAAAGGATAGGGTATGTACCGAAGACGATGGAAGAAAATAAGACGACATCAAATTTGGATGAGAGAAGCCACACGATTCAAGACGAAGTATTAGTTGAAGACGAAGTATTAGACAATATCGATCAAGGAATTGTTACTGCAAGTACACGACCAAAGCGTAATATTAGAAAGCCAGATAAGTTAGATTTATAGTTCGAAATAGAATTGTGAGGGGGTAGTGTTAGGTTGGCAATAAGCGAGTTTGGGACAAGAGACACTTGCAATAATGTTCATGGAAGAATGTTTGATGTACTTTTTATACGTTAAATGTTTGTAAATAAGACAAAAATCGTCCTTGAATAAGCTGTATCAGATTGCTCGTGGTATTTAATATGTCCGCATTGCATTACCACTTCTTCATTGTAATTATCCATGTTTCTTAAAAAATTTGTATTTTCTTCGATTTGAATATCCATCTCAACTTTTGAACATTTACAAAATCTGCAATAGTAGTTAGATGGGAATGACATAGTAAAACCATAGACCAAATACAATAGACTGAGCACCGGTTTTAATGTGGACCAATACGTATAGATGGAGTTGGACCAACAGAAGTCGCTTACCAGCAACCAGTGGCGCACTGAATTAACGTCAGAAATTTTAAAACTGAATAATTTTATACTACTGAAAACCCGTCATTTGGCAGATTGCGTGGTCAATATTATTATTTTGATTGGTAAATATGATTATTTTGGTTTGTATGCTGTGTAATATCGTCCGATTTTTGAATTATTAATATAGAGTTGTAAAAATTGTGTCTCTGACCAATTCTTCCAAACGCTCAGAAAAGGAGATTGACGAAAATATATGCGGACTTTTTTAAAGGGCATTAAATTTTCTACAAAAAAGTCCGCGGCAGCTTATGCCGACGACGCGAAGTTCAGTTTGGAAACGACAACCGTTTGAAGATTATACAATCACCTGTCCCGCGTAATTGCATTGCCTACTCCATTCATACGCGATATAAGCTGTGCTAACACCAGAGGAATTTGCTGATGTTTGCGCCGGTTTTATAGCGACTGCATTTGCTAAAAATATACTAACATTCTTTCGAATTACGAATTTTACATTGGAGATTACGCCATGACGGGGGCCAAAATAGTGATAACGTTTTAGGAATGTAAAATGCTGCACATGCGTTTTAAAGTGCTTTTTTAAGGTACTTCGTTTTCAAAGAAGTTTGCATCTACATTATAAATTTATAACCGCAGTTTGAATAACTTTCTTTGCAGAATCTGGCGGCTTCTGAAGGCATACTTGCGAATTATTTTTTTATTATTTTTTCTAGGTATAGCATTTAAACAGGATATAAAATAACGCCATGTAAATACCAAAGTCCAATACATAAATTTTTGCAAATAAAGTAAAATTAAATTTCACAATCACTTATAGAGGCTAATACAAACAAATAAATTATTTACACATTTTTGACGATCAAAATTTTAGGATGAATTCGACGATGAGGCTGTCGTAACGCTGAACTGAACTGTAATAATTACGTAAAGTTATTAGATTGATCAATAAAAATTTTACGTGCTCCAAACATTGTTGATGTGTTATTACATGCGGGCAGTTTAGTTTAATGAAAACCTTTAAAACATATTATTGGAAAAAAATTGGCAAACTGGAGCAGTACTTATCAACAGTTTTCGTTGAAAACAGGGTTCGCAACTGATTTTAGGAAAAAAATAGAGACTTGGTCTCTATTTACATATTTAAAAATAGAGACCATTTCGAGACCTTCGAGAACCAATTTCCATACAAAATTAAGCAAAAAATATTTATTTTGTAATAGATGAGAATGATGAGATACATAAACGGCAATATATCTAAAAAAAAAGTAACCGTTAAAACGTAACTGCATAGACGTTGCAATTTTAATAACATTTTAAACAACGTAACAACATAAAATGGATACATTCTTAAAATACTTATTACCGCAACGCAAAACACCTTCTCGTCGTTAAATTTTCGACCCCAAGATAATATCTAGCTTCTTCAACCACTCAGTTTGAAATTTACACTTTCCCATTTTGTTTTATTTTATTATCAAAAACCTATTTTTCTACAACTGTCAAAAAAACCTGTCATTTTCTGACGAATTTCGAAACGCGAAGTACTAGATTTTTAAACGGTTAATTAATAAGTAAGGTTGCTCTTGACAACGTGCGCGAAACCGTCAACAATGAAAAAAAGTATTTCGCACACATGACAAAGTTGAACTTAAAAGCAATCGGTTCAGTTGTAGAAAAAATATAACGGTGGCTTCTACACTGTGAAATTTGACTCTGCAAAAACATTTCCTGTAGCTGACATGATAAGGCGAGTAACCAACGCTTTTGCATGAACAGAAAACAGCATCACGATTCGCGAAATAAAATTTGAAACGCTACTGGGGTCATCGTAATTAATGTGTGCGCCATCTATGCGACCAATGATTCATTACGCCGTGCACAGTCTATTCTATTGGTCTATGGTAAAACCAAGTAAAGTGTTTAAACCCAAATTATCTCCTAACCATAAAGCAAAACAGAATTTTACATTTATTTTTTGATTTGAAATATTAATTGTGATTCCGTCTTTTTCAAGCGTATTGCATTCATTAATGAATTGAGAAAAAATTTTCATAGCACCGAACCTTTTTAAATCATCACTATGAAAAACTAAAAAGCATGCCTAAAAAATATTGTCTAGATGAGCTATGAATTCGGGCGGTACACATGCAACAGAGCAATAAATAGCTGATAATTTGTGATCCTCTGCATGTGACCCAAGGGGGTTTCCGCACTCATAATCGTCAAAATATAGAAAAATTGGAAAAATAAAGGTCTCTTCGTTACACTCCAAAAGTTTAACTTTCTCTTTCCAGAAATTTGTTTGAATTATGTTAGATATAAATGGTTCCATTTTTAAATAAGTAATATATTTTAAGATATCTTGAAAAACTCCCTCAATTTCAAGAAATTTTTTAAGTACATTCGCAATTGGAATCATCTGCACTTTATAATCAAATTGATATAAATCATCCTTCTTAGCAACTATCAACTGAATAGGAGGAATATAAAGCTCTGTATCTTCCAAAAACTTTAATCGCAAATAATCTGACCGCAATGTACTAAAACTTCTGTCCAATATATTAAACTTCAAATTAATTGAATCTATTTCCTCTGATGGAATTTCATATTTTTGAAAGGTATCTAAAACATCGTTTTTTAAAAGTGTAATTGTTTCACTTAAAATTTCTGAGCAATTAGTAATAATAAAATTTGCATCTTTCCTAGTAGATGTTATGTATAAACTTTACACATAAAAGAAATAATTTTTGATTGAACTAGATTTTCTTGAAATGAACAGTGTTTGAAAGTTTCGCGATTATTCTCATAAACGTTTAAAGTTTGATTTTCATTATCATCAGAAATATTCAATTCACTTGGCAAAGAAATTGATCTTTGAATATTCGTTTCAGATACAATTTCGTGAACTTTATGAGTTTGTAAATGCTTTCTGAAGGAATTTAAAGAATTGTAACTTCTGGCACAATTATTAAATTCACATTTAAATATACTGTTTTCTTTCATCCCATGCAACATTTTTAAATGAGAAATCAAACTTTTACTTAACTTATAAGAATCAAAACATACTGCAAGTAAACATTATTAACTAATAAAATAATACCACATTGAATTCAAAACAATTGTTAATATTTTTAATTTGGCATATTACTGTATATAAATTTCAATGTCACAATAAAAACTATTGTTTGTATTCAATCCGTTTGGGGAAATAATTTTTGAACATGGAAGTTAATATCAGAAATCACTGAGCCCGCTGTGCTATGTTTAGATGTAACTGGCATTTTAAACACGATTTCTTCAATTGTTTGCCAAACATGTTTAGCACATTTAATGTATTCTAAATTTAAAGCATGGTGTAATTTAAACATTAATTCTAAGCATCTAGTCGATGAACCCGCTTTGTAATTTATTTTGTTAAAGTGAATTACATACTCATCTTTCCCAATCAAAACAGCGAAAGGTTGTAAAGGCAAATTTTTTCCCTCGTATAGGCGTGTTTGTGTCTCTATGTGATGCGCAAACTTTTCCTGGTTCTGTAAAAAATTAAATTATTGAGAGACATGGCACGTAGTTTGCGAAACTACATTAATTATTCTAGGAACAAAATAATGCAATGACAATTGTATTTTTTAGCGAAACAAAATAGCAATCGTAATTCTTGATGTAGCAGAAAAACTCCACTTAAAATTAATATACAATACCATAAAAAATAAAATTAAAACTACATATACTGTTTCGCAAAGAACACAAACCTCGTTCTTATAGTTAATAAACCATACTTTATTAGGTTGCTACCCATAAATGAATAAATTCGTTTATTTTACTGCTAAACAAATTTTACATTCACATATATTAAAACAAAAAAAAAAGCAAAGTACCTATTGTTATTTATTGACAAAAAATTTTTTCTGAAAATTTATTGTAAAATATAGGTACCTACACACATGAATAATTTTACAATTTACAAATTTTATGTGTTAAAATGTAACCATTATTCTCTTTTCATATTCATAGATAACAAATGTAAAAGTAAAAGTTAAAAATAATGTCAACTTACCTCCACAATACAAAAAAAACTATCCTGAATTTCTTTGCGCGTTGGTCGCCATGGTTGCGCTTCTTTATTGGTGGATTTTCCTTGTGATTTTCTGGTTGTTATTGGAGAAAATAATAGTGGCAAACAAAAGAGTGCTTTCGAAGAATCTAAAATATAGAAAACTTATGTCAATAAAATTCCAAAGCAACATAATCATTGTAATTTCTCAAAGCATATTTTAAAAACAAAAGCCTACAAACATAATCATACCTAAAGTTTCTAAAATGGTAGACTTGATTCTACCAAATCCAGAAAGTAATGTAAAATTTTATTGTTAGTAATTAAAAGGCACTGTAATTTTTTTGTCATAATTTTTTGCAGTGTATTTATCAACAGAGTAATATGTGTCATGCTCATGAAATCACAAAGTTATCGCATCAAAAATTTTTTTGCAACAAAATGTTTTCAGATAATTTGGACAGTTTGAAATAAATTTTTTGTTAAATAGTAGACTTTATAAAGAAATAACCATTTAAAACTGACTGAAATAATTCTACCCTTCCAAGTTATAACCGCAACTGGTAATTCGACGATCTTCACATTCGGCTAGTATAGCTTTACTGACTTTTGGCCATGTTTCATATATTATATCAATCTTGTCCGGATATTGTTGATTAAAATCACATTCAAGCTAAAAAAAATTTAGATATTAAAAATTAAATACAAACCAAATGTATATACGTGCCAAAGCAATTCCGTATTCATGATGATTTAATATAGGAAAATCATTATATATTTGCTCTACATCAGTTGAACCATATGTTATCTTTCTCAGTTGAAACGTCAATTCCCAATGTTCTACTACTTCAGAGTATACTATATCAGTTTTTGAGCATAACGATTTTAAGGAATTTAATTGATGGGATATATTTGGATCAATGTTTTCAGTTGCTTCCTTACTTGTAAGAATTTTATTTTTATTTGCTAACTTCACTGCTGCTTTGATATTATTAAACTTAGCCCAAAGTTTCCCACGTGCAGGAACTTTTCTTAGTCCTTCTTTTGCAGCAGTGTATGGGCAGTAGTAAGTATCTGCAGCTTCTCCTGGGAATAATGCTGCAATATCATTTGCAGTCCGAATAAAATCTTCTGTTTTTATTCTGTACAAATAAAGATTAGTATATATAAAAGGCTAGATGTGTTGCTTACTCTAATTTCTTTTCAAATCTGTTTATTGACTTCCTACTGCTCAATAACAGTTCACTGACTACAATCCTTACTAACTTCTGTCGATGATCATTTTTTAATTTTCGTCGATTTCTCAGTAGTATTTGACCTTCAACCGTTTTTTTTAAGATATCTTCCAAACTCTAAAAAATCATACCTCATAATTGTGGTTAAGAGCAGTTGATTTCTTTAACTTACATCTCTAAAATATGTCCCTGATGAAATTTTAGCTAATTTGGTTGGTGGTGGGACAATCGATGTACTTTCATCTGGTTCTAGATCATCATCCGAGTACAAGGCTTGGTTGATTATATTTTGCAAGTCTGTATCAGGTTCATAAATAAAATCAGATACGGTGCTGGTGCTGGTGCTGGCGCCTTCAGAATTCTATAAATAAACATTTTGACAATAAAAATTTGTTTGTATCAAGAGATTTATCTTTTATGGTTATCATATAAATGCCCGCTAAGCTGTTGATGGTTATATAGTTTGCTTCTAAAACAATTTAAGATTGGAGTTGATGTTTTGATAAAAGAAGATTTTTTAGCCTTACAACTAACTTAATATAATTAAAAACGTTAAATGATCTTACATAAAACGATTGTTTCGGTAGTAGAGAAGTTTCTAGTGCGGCGGGCTTTGCTGCGTTTAAGTGTTCAAAAAATTTCTTTTTAAAAAGTAGCCTTGGCCCACTTTTTATCAAAATTATGTTTATTGTTGCGTCATCCAATAGCTCAAAACTCTCATCTGTGACACATTCATCTAAAATAATAATAATATTAGGTAAAGACAATTAGCCTTAGCCATTTCGATAATAGTGAACACTAAATAATCAACAGGTGTGGCGTACCTAGGGTTATTTTAAACTCTGCACGAAATTTGTGCCTCAAAAATAGCTATTTATGTATTAAGAGCGATAAGTGCATAATTGTTGTTTGGCGCGGAAAAGCGACAATCGCACATTGCGCTTGAAAACCACAATTGATTTTTTCGCTATCATATGTATTAATACGCGAAAAAAGTACCTAAGCGAGTGACAAAATCACTTTGCCGCTTGGCGAGCGACAAAGTGGCACTTTTCGCTGTCACAATAAAGCGAAACCTTGATCTTTCCGTTGTGGTTGCAAAACAAACATTTTAAAAATTACTTTTATAAGTTTTCGGAAACAAAAAAAACATCTGCGAGGCTATTGGGTTTAATATAGGTTCACCCATTTTAAAATATCACACAATTTTAAACAATAATGTCGGTCATCACCGGGAACATATGACGGACTCAACATTTTGTTACGCTTCCTAGTTACGCCACTGCATATAAATATCACACAAGCACATTGGAATGTGCATATATGCAGTATTACACTAACACTTACACACATTGCACATTTCATGAATCGAATATTACGAACCTATTGAGGGGAATATTATCATATTTACAGACTTAAGAGTACAGGGGAGCAGGGGAAACCGAATTTGAAAATTTTAAAAGATTACTTATTACTTACTTTCGAAAGCTGGAATGAAATCACCCAAACCCCATTCAGTTAAAAGGGATTTATATTCCATTTCTTGATGTAGCAGGAACAAACACCCAATCACACTTATTGCGTCAACTTTAGCACAAAAATTTGTGGAACATATACGCACAACGAATACTCGGATGCAAAACTGCAAATACTGCAAAACGGCATAATTGCGCGAGCATAGGATGACGTAGGCGTATTAAGGAGGGAAGTGGTTTTTTTAAATAAACACTGCTAATAGTTAGAAAATATGTATTCAACACAAAATTACACCTTATACTCCCTATCAAAAGTATAGTAGGCGCAAAAAAACTAACTATTAACCAAAAAGTTTTCATAATCTTAGTAAACCGAATAATAAAACGATAATCGCCTAATGATATAAACGCTATTCGTTAGTATACTGGTATACTAAAATTTAGAACATTTTTTGTTAGTACATTGCTTTGCTAAAGACTAACAAATTTATCTTTAAATTAAATAAAAATAGTGTTTATGGTAAGTATATGACATGATGTACCGTACCGTACAAGGGGGCTGCGAAAACAAAGAATTAGATTGTAAGTGGACTGTAATTATGAATTACTTCCAAGGCCTTGTTTATGCTGGGAATGAAAGAATATAGACACATAAATAAACGTGTTTATTATAAAAAATACAAAGTAAATGAATTTCTATTGAACATGGTTGACGTAGACACGACGGCTACTAGAATATGGTAAAGTTACGAAGGGATAATGTAAACAAAGGAACTTACGTGTTGTTTCGAAGTCCATTAACAACGAAGGCGATGTTGCAATGGCGAAGATTGCTCATTCTACGAAGTTGTCGAATTTGTCGATTTTGTTACAACGAAATCTTCTTATTGATGTGCGGTGCTTTGACGTTCTGCTTGTTAATAACGATGTTGCGAACTGCACGGCGACATCTTGACCCGTTGGGGATCGATCGAGATCTATATGCGAACGACGAAGGCTAATCGGCCATTGATTAACGGCGACTTCTCAACGTAGTTGAGTCGATGGCTTCTAAGCGAAGAATCGGACGAATTCTGCGCGACGAGTACACATATTGCGCTTCTGCGGCTCATGCGCGCACACGTAACTTGCCGGTGTGTGGAGAAGAGGCTGCGATTGAAGAGGCATCTAGCGGACTATTTAAAACTAGAGATGAAAACAAAAAACAGCTGACAAAAATAAACCACTTGACGTAACTTGACTTAACCATAGCATAGCCAAAGAAATGATTACTTAATTTTACTGATATCCTTCTACCCGTGCCTGTCTACTGTTAATTGATTGTGCAATTACCATTTGTTAGTTCTTTTAACTATAAGTAGATGAAATTAATGTCATTTGCAAGACCCCCAGGAAAAAGGAAATATAATATTTTGTTGTAGGCACAATTACAGAGCAAAACTGTTCATGTGCATCACCGCACAATTACTGAAAACTTCGCCCTGCCGTCTATCAGATTTAAATTCAATCTGTGCTTCTATTCCTTTCATGCACGTCCAAAGTAACTTCACGAGCCCTATTCTACCTGCCGATGCTGGCCCATCACCACAGAGAAAGTCGCTGAAGCTTTTGTTAACTGTTAGCATAAACCAAAACTATGCTGTTAGTTATCCCACTTCGGTTCCTCTACTAGCATCACCACCGATAAGAGATAACAATTTGAATCTTCCCTTTTCCATACCCTCAACATTGTTTTCGGCACAGAATGATCCCGCACTTGCAGTTCCCAACCAGCAGCCAATGGCCTAACTGAACGATTTCACTGTCAACTCAAAGTCACCTCAGCGCTTCCTGGCTTGAGGTGCTCCCTATCGTTCTGCTTACAATATGCATAGCGTGTTCAAGGAGAACCTTCACGCTTCCCCAGCTAAATTTGTTTACAGCCAAAGCCTTTGACCTGATTGGGAAACCTTGTAACAATTTAGAAATGCAATTTGCAAGCGAAATAATATAGTATAGGGATTATGACTCGAATGTAACATGAAATCAGATAAGATAGCTTCAGCTTCATAGTATACACAATACATAGGTATGTTTGTATTATTGTAAACACTGTTAATGAATACAAAAGTATGAGTTTGATATAATTTTGAATCAAGCCACAAGGATTTAGATTTTGGGGAACTAATTTAATCAAATCAATTATGAAGTATTAATGGTTTGCTACACACTATTTACAATTAAAATATTTGTAATTGAATACTATTTATTATAAAGGTTTAAACAATATACCAGGATTGTACCTATTGCTCAAATTGTGATTAAGTTACTAGTTAACAATAAACTAAAACTAATATCGTAGAAGCCCGATTATCCATGCTCCACAGGACCAGACGAAGCACAGATAATTGAAAAGCACGGAAAATCCAAATTAATATTTATTTCTTACATATGAACATATTGTATACATATACAGGGTGGTGACTTGCATAACGCATCATAGGGATTTCAATGTAAAATTCGTAACATGCGATTATTGGCTCCCCAAATTATTTTAGAGCAAACATGTATTAATGTTTTTTGTAGAAACAAATTTTTTACGTCAATCAACCTCATTGCTTTTCAATTTTTTGCATAATAAAGACGGAAAATTGGAAAAATAAAACACGCACCTTTGCAATAATCAGTGATGCCATGGAATTTTATAATACAAAAACTACGCCAATATCCGTCATGCCATGGAATGTCCGCTATAAAACAAATCAAATTCTATCAAAAAGTATTATATTTAGAACAGCGAATTCAACATAAAGAAATACCAAATTACTAAAAACGGTTTCCTATTATAACAATTTACAATAAATGTTCGAAAAAGTCACCATTAACTGCAAGACAGTAACCAAGTCGAACATAAAATCCATTTCGAACTGCTGCTAATTGATAACTGAATATCTTTTTGTTTTAGAAAATTCCATGGCAACACAGATGATTGAAAAAGGTGCGGGTTTTATTTTTCCAATTTTCCGTCTTTATTATGCAAAAAATTGAAAAGTAATGCGGTTGATTGACGTAAAAATTTTTTTTCTACAAAAAACCTTAATACATTTTTGCTCTAAAATAATTTGGGGAGCCAATAATCGCATGTTATGAATTTTACATTGAAATCCCTATGATGCGTTACGCAAGTCACCACCCTGTATACTTATGTTTATACTTATGTTCATACTACACAGGATTAAAAACAGAATTTTTATACAAGAAAACGTTACTAAAATGTTTACAACGATACATTAACTTTTCAAAAAAGCGGATAGCTATGCTTTTGAAAGAAGTCAGTCAGGTGTGAAAAGTTTTGATAAGTTGTAACCTTCTGGCGCATGCTGCATAAATTAAAAATGTCACTGCAGGGGTAATCCACTGCTCGGATAATCGAGGTTTTACATTACTTAATGTTCTAAACAAGAGTTTATAAAGCACAGAAAATAAAATGTCAAACTTAGAATACACATAACATCAACATGATTATAAATAAATAAATTAGTCAAATATTCCTGTAGATGTGGAAGGTAAATAAGAATGGTCAGTTTGATTTGCATTCATGCATTTATTTTTAAATTCTTTTTGTTCTTCAAGAGATGGTTTTTTAAATCTTATATTGCCACCTAAGTTACGCTTCCTTTTTAAAGACTCAAATCGAGGCTGTTTTTCAATTTTTTTATTACATGGCTCGTTTTTCATTGGTTTGTAATTTAAAACATTATTAGAACATATATCAATACACTTATTTACCAAATGATTTATGCTTTCCTTATCATCTAAAGAAAGTGTTCTTGTTGACACCAATTCAGACAACACTCCTAATTTAGCAACTATTTCTTCATTGTTTAAATTAGGTGACTCGGAACCGCAATGCGATAAAAAAGTTTGGATAGTATTATCTTCACTTATTTCAGGTTTACAGCTTGTTGATGGTTCTTCGGTGGACAGAGTCAAAAAATGTATCACTGCATGTATGTGTTTGCATAAATTAAACTTTATAAAGTAGTCTATACACGTACATGAAAATTGATGTACACACACATTACATTCTTTGCATGATAGTTGACAAGGACATGAACTATGCTCTATCCTCTCATGACGTAGATCCTTAACTGTATAAATGTCATCTTTATCATGTTGTGATTTTACATAGTAAGAGCCTTTTAATAATAATAATAATAATAATAATAGCTTTTCTTGAATATTGAAGGCTCCTACACCATATTCAATTGGAATGCACAGGGTCAGATAAACTGAAGACAGTTATCTGTTCTTCCCCCTGTAACCACAATAAAATCTAGGTATAAAATAAAATTGCAATGACAACCATATATACATAATTAACATAAACATATACTATCCTATGCTCGTAACTAAATATCTAGCATAAAACTTAAAAAAAAATGTCCGGTAAGCAGTATATAAGTATTACAATAGGTACGACAGGTAACTAAAGAATCACGACCTATTTGTAAGTATTGTCCTTTTCATCGCCGTCTTAAATGAAACCTTTGATAAACTCAGAAATTTAAGATTTTCTTTCTGATTACCAAATTTGCAGATGTTGTAACTGAAGGATCTTTGAAATACTGACGTAGAGAAAGATGGAGTAGATAACAACCCTCGATATCGCAAATTTAGGTGGTGAATATCTGTTCTAAATGTTATCCTATTATATAAATAAGGAGGTGTTCTATCATTAATAATTCTGTGATAAAAGCACGAGGAGTGTAACTGCCGTGTTTCCTTCATATTCAGCCATCCTATTATGGGAAGTGTATGGGAAATCTTTTCATATTTTCGTATGCCAAACACAAAACGTAAGCAAGAATTTTGAACTCTCTGAATTCTATCACGATCTCTAGCCAATAGACATGGTCCATAGACAACGTCAGAGAAATTAAAGTGTGACAAAACCAGAGCATCACATAGTACAGCTTTGTGTTTGGTGCTAAGAATACGACGGCTGCTATACAAGAGACGCAAATGGCCGTACGCCTTGGCAATCAGATGATCGACATGCTTCCTAAATCTAAGTTTGTCATCAATGTAGAGACCGAGGCTTTTTACACATTGAGAATTTTGGAGAATTTGATCTCCGATTTGAATCCTTATTCTATCTATGGCTGCGTCT